TACCTGACTCAGTCCAATAGTTACAATCCACTGACACTACCTACTCAGTCCAATAGTTACAATCCACTGTCACTACCTGACTCAGTCCAATAGTTACAATCCACTGTCACTACCTGACTCAGTCCAATAGTTACAATCCACTGACACTACCTACTCAGTCCAATAGTTACAATCCACTGTCACTACCTGGCTCAGTCCAATAGTTACAATCCACTGTCACTACCTGGCTCAGTCCAATAGTTACAATCCACTGTCACTACCTGACTCAGTCCAACAGTTACAATCCACTTTCACTACCTGACTCAGTCCAATAGTTACAATCCACTGTCACTACCTGACTCAGTCCAATAGTTACAATCCACTGTCACTACCTGGCTCAGTCCAATTGGATTGTAACTGGGACTGAGTCAGGTAGTGACAAAAAGTTGCAATCCACTGTCACTACCTGGCTCAGTCCAAAAGTTGCAATCCACTGTCACTACCTGACTCAGTCCAGAAGTTGCAATCCACTGTCACTACCTGGCTCAGTCCAATAGTTACAATCCACTGTCACTACCTGACTCAGTCCAAAAGTTGCAATCCACTGTCACTACCTGGCTCAGTCCAATAGTTACAATCCACTGTCACTACCTGACTCAGTCCAACAGTTACAATCCACTTTCACTACCTGACTCAGTCCAATAGTTACAATCTACTGTCACTACCTGACTCAGTCCAATAGTTTTTATGCCTACCTTTGTACAACTCACATGTGCATACTAAATGACATATGAAATACTAGGATTTTATAATATTAGTACAGACTGTGATAATTCCTAATTCTGTGAAGAAATTAACCAGAAAAAAACGTGTAGTGTAGTTGTAACTTTTGAAAACAGATTTATGAAACTATTTACACTTGTTTCTTGTTCTTAAGACATAGAAGGATTTCAGTTTAACTGTTTGTTTGCTTTAGGATGTTTGCACAAAGCTACTCTGTACAACCCATCTTTACTAGAGGGAAGACAGTTACTCAAAACTCTTGTCTGACGATACAATGGAAATTGACCATCACCCTTATAAACATGGCACCAAACACTGGAGTGCAATTTTTATTTTAGTGGTAACAAGACTCAAACAATGGACACGCAGGTCCATAGTCTGGCATACTAACCACTGAGCCATGTTTAGTATATCGGGTTAAACTCATTTAATAGTACAGGGTAGAAAACCTACAGTCTGTGTGTTTGAGGAAACAATCAAAAGTTACAAGAAAGTTCAAATAAAGCTTTAAATGATCACATTATTTTACAGTAATAAACATTGTGTTATAGAAAATGAGGTTAAAATAATAAAAATACATAATACATAGTTCAAGAATTTAAAAATTCTAAGATATGATTTATTTTTGTAACATTTTACCTTCGCTTTGTGGGAAATATTGGATACTTATATGATGTACTAAATACATTGTGAAATAACTCTTATACTGAATTATGGAATTGTTAAAGTCTAATGGCAAATTCTCCAGTACCATAATGGTTAAAATAACATATAAGTAGTTGCTAAGATAGTCACAATTATCATTACATAAATCAGATTTCTCCGTAAACAAGATAGTCACAATTATCGTTACATAAATCAGATTTCTCCGTAAACAAGATAGTCACAATTATCGTTACATAAATCAGATTTCTCTATAAACAAGATAGTCACAATTATCGTTACATAAATCAGATTTCTCCATAAACAAGATAGTCACAATTATCGTTACATAAATCAGATTTCTCCGTAAACAAGATAGTCACAATTATCGTTACATAAATCAGATTTCTCCATAAACAAGATAGTCACAATTATCGTTACATAAATCAGATTTCTCCGTAAACAAGATAGTCACAATTATCGTTACATAAATCAGATTTCTCTGTAAACAAGATAGTCACAATTATCATTATATAAATCAGATTTCTCCGTAAACAAGATAGTCACAATTATCGTTACATAAATCAGATTTCTCCGTAAACAAGATAGTCACGATTATCGTTACATAAATCAGATTTCTCCGTAAACAAGATAGTCACAATTATCTCCATCTACATAAGACCTTCTTTCTTTAAATATTAAGAACTGAAATATTTGATTCCGATATATTTCTCACCTCAATTTCAAAAGGAAATAAACCGAATGCTGCACGAAATCCGTAACAGAAATGAGCTATGCTGGGGACTTCCCACCAACTCTGAATATCTGAAATATAAAAGATTCCTGAATACATACTTATGGGTTTATTTAAGAAAATTTCTAACAAGACAGATAAATATCTTCTGTACATTTTAACATGGCAATTTGTGGCAACAATTTATCATTACACAATGTTATCCATTAAGTCTTTTCTGACATTTATCAAAACATTTTGTTCTCCCTTTCTCTTCTTTGGATAGTTAGTTAGCCTGAAACATGTATTTGTCGTGTGATGTGAAGCATATTTACAGACGAAATCTAATTGTGAATTTTTTAAAAAGTAGATTATGTAGATTATGTGGTTACTACAGATAGTATAAAATCAGGCCCTAAAAAAGATACAAGCATAAAGAGCTTCCGTATAGTGAAATTTTCAATATGTGTTTGTACATCAGGTTACCATGACGTTCATAGTTTGATGGACTGGGACATCAAAGGACAAGGTGTGATCAAGTCAGTATAGATACAAAAAGTTAACATGTACCAGACCACTGATAACCACAGCAGAGCTGGGTCTTCTACAAAGTGTTACTGTAACATCTTTACTGCTATACAGATGATCTATCCCATCTGTTTCCATATATACAGTAACATATTTACTGCTATACAAATGACCTATCCCATCTGTTTTCATATATACAGTAACATCTTTACTGCTGTACAGATGACCTATCCCATCTGTTTTCATATATACAGTAACATCTTTACTGCTGTACAGATGACCTATACCACCTGTTGTCATACATACTGTAACATATTTAATACTATACAGTTGATATATACCACCTGTTGTCATACATACTGTAACATCTTTAATTCTATACAGCTGATATATACCATCTGTTGTCATCAGCTGTATAGAATTAAAGATGTTACAGTATGTATGACAACAGATGGTATAGATCAGCTGTATAGAATTAAAGATGTTACAGTATGTATGACAACATATGGTATAGGTCATTTGTATAGTATTAAAGATGTTACAGTATGTATGACAACAGATGGTATATATCAGTTGTATAGTATTAAAGATGTTACAGTATGTATGTATGACAACAGATGGTATAGGTCATTTGTATAGTATTAAAGATGTTACAGTATCTATACCATCTGTTGTCATACATACTGTAACATCTTTAATACTATACAGCTGATCTATACCATCTGTTGTCATACATACTGTAACATCTTTAATACTATACAGTTGATCTATACCATCTGTTGTCATACATACTGTAACATCTTTAATACTATACAGTTGATCTATACCATCTGTTGTCATACATACTGTAACATCTTT